ACCTGCGGCAGACACCCGTCCCCAGGCCCTGCCGTCTCTGACCTCCCTCTCCTGCCGCTAGTCCATCCGCCGCCTGATGGAAGCGGAGAAGGTGAAGGGCTTTTGCCAAGTGGTGATCTCCTCCAACCTGCGGGATGGCATGTCCCACCTCATCCAGTCCAGTGGGCTCGGGGGGCTGCAGCACAACACGGTGCTGGTGGGCTGGCCCCGCAGCTGGCGCCAGAAGGAGGACCACCAGACCTGGAGGAATTTCATCGGTAGGCATTGCGGAGGCTGGGTGCTGCCAGGCTGCGAGGGGAGATGCAAGCAACCCCAGCTGACCTGTCCCTTACCCTCCAGAGCTGGTGCGAGAGACCACGGCCGGGCACCTGGCCTTGCTGGTGGCCAAGAATGTCGCCATGTTCCCGGGCAACCAGGAGCGGTTCTCGGAGGGCCACATCGACGTCTGGTGGATTGTCCATGACGGGGGGATGCTCATGCTGCTCCCCTTCCTCCTCCGGCACCACAAGGTAGCTTGGGCCCCACAGTGTACGGCAGGGGGCTGGGGTTATCCCCACCGAGCCATGCCCATGCCTCCCTGCCTCACAGGTCTGGCGCAAGTGCAAGATGCGTATCTTCACGGTGGCACAGATGGACGACAACAGCATCCAGATGAAGAAGGACCTGACCACGTTCCTGTACCACCTGCGCATCACTGCAGAGGTGGAGGTGGTGGAGATGGTGAGTGCTGGGATGGGACACGTGCTGCAGTCTGGGCTGCTGTATGTGGCACAGCCAGACAGACCTTGTCACGGGGGAACACGGCTCCACGGGGAGGGAGGAACATGCAGCACCACAGCGGGACACAGCACCACGGGGACATGCAGCACCATGGGGACACGTAGGTCCACAGAGACATGCAGGGCCAGGCTGGGAGCAGTGGGTGCAGCTCACCCTGCCCCATGGTTTCTCCTGTTCCCCCCCCCAGCACGAGAGTGACATCTCCGCCTACACCTATGAGAAGACGCTGGTGATGGAGCAGCGCTCCCAAATCCTCAAGCAAATGCACCTCACCAAGAATGAGCGGGAACGGGAGGTGAGGTCGCAGGACAGCCTGGGTGGGATCCGGCCCCCATGGTGGCTGTGCTGAGCACCAAGCTGCCCCACAGTTCTGTGCACTCATCTTGCCAGGGAGCCAGGGCTGAAGGCTGGAGTCTGCCTGGCTGAGCCCTCTTCTGCCCTGCTCCCCTGGCTGATCCTGTCCCACACAGATCCAGAGCATCACGGATGAGTCCCGCGGCTCCATCCGGCGCAAGAACCCAGCCAACACGCGCCTGCGCCTGAGTGTCCCTGAGGAGCAGGTGGGCGATGGTGAGGAGAAGCCAGAGGAAGAGGTGAGGGGCTGCACCAGGATGGGGTCTGGGCAGGCAGCTGGCCCCAGCCCTCGCCCACCCTTCCCCTCTCTTCTCTGCAGGTCCAACTCATCCACGACAAAAATGCCACCACCTTCTCCAGCAGCTCCCAGTCCCCTGGCGACGAGGTGGAGACGGCCCCTGAGAAGGTGCATCTCACCTGGACCAAAGAGAAGTCTGTTGCTGAGAAGAACAAGAGCAAGAGCCCCGTCAGCCCTGAGGGCATCAAGGACTTCTTCAACATGAAGCCGTACGGCCCCACATGCTGCCACCCTGTCCCACCCGCGCCCTGCATCCCCAGCCATCCCTGCTCACCCCGGCCAGGCGGGTGCAGGCAGGACCCTTGGTCCTTGCTCTGAGGAGGGAGTCCAGCAGCCCTGGGTGCCCTGAGCTCACCCCGACGGAGGGGCTGAGTGGGAGGTGGGGTGGGGTCCCTGCACACACCTGCACTGGTGAGGGACAGGGTACCCGGGCAGCGTACTTTGCAGTGTCTCAGGATGTGCACCCGGCGCTCACCTCTTCTCTCTCTCTCTCTCTCTCTTCTGCCCCATCGTGCTCCTGGCAGGGAGTGGGAGAACCTGTAAGTCTGGATTTGGCTGGGTGCTGGGTCCCAGGGTGGGGGGAGCTGGGCCACCGCTCACAGGGCAACGTGCCCGGAGCCGTCAGGGTTGCCCCTGTGCACGAGGGCAGC